GTGTGCAATGTGTTGGTGTACACGGTATTACAGTGTGCAATGTGTTGGTGTACATGGTATTACAGTGTGCAATGTGTTGGTGTACATGGTATTACAGTGTGCAATGTGTTGGTGTACACGGTATTACAGTGTGCAATGTGTTGGTGTACATGGTATTACAGTGTGCAATGTGTTGGTGTACACGGTATTACAGTGTGCAATGTGTTGGTGTACAGTGTGCAATGTGTTGGTGTACATGGTATTACAGTGTGCAATGTGTTGGTGTACATGGTATTACAGTGTGCAATGTGTTGGTGTACACGGTATTACAGTGTGCAATGTGTTGTGTGTACAATGTGTTGGTGTACATGGTATTACAGTGTGCAATGTGTTGGTGTACATGGTATTACAGTGTGCACAATGCATTTGACATGGTTTTAGAGTGCAATGCATTAGTATGTAATGCAGGGGTCCTCAAACTACGGCCCGCGGGCCACAAGAGGCCCGCCAAGCACACTCATGCCCGACGGCAGGGGACACCAATTACAGTGGGCAGGGGGCTGCTGTCTCTTACAGTGGCTCCGGTCCCAGTCCCATGACAATCCAGTCCAGGATGCGCTGCTCCTTCACTCCAGCCGCTCCCTCAATGTGTTCGCGCTGTACCGCTCAGCTCCGCCTCCTCACCGGTGATTGGGCACCAGTACTGTAGCTCAGGAAAGGCACACAGGCGGCCAATCACCGGCGAGGAGGCGGAGCCGAGCGGACCCGCAAAAATCAAAGGGGAGAAAGGCCGGAGTGAAGGAAAGAGGACAGCTGACCTTCCGGTAAGTGTTGCCATGCAGATGGTACTTCTGCAACCAGGTATGTGCTGGTGTAGCAGCCCCATGCTGGAAAAGGGGCGGCTAGTTAAGTGTCATTGCTGTACAGTGGAGGAATAGTGCCCCATCATTGGTGTCACTGATAATGATGGGGCACTATTCCTCCCCCCACTGACACCAACGAATGGGGCACTATTCCTCCCCCCACTGACACCAGCGATGGGGCACTATTCCTCCCCCCACTGACACCAGCGATGGGGCACTATTCCTCCCCCCACTGACACCAGCGATGGGGCACTATTCCTCCCCCCACTGACACCAGCGATGGGGCACTATTCCTCCCCCCACTGACACCAGCGTGGGGGCACTATTCCTCCCCCCACTGACACCAACGATGGGACACTATTCCTCCCCCCACTGACACCAACGATGGGGCACTATTCCTCCCCCCACTGACACCAACGATGGGGCACTATTCCTCCCCCCACTGACACCAGCGATGGGGCACTATTCCTCCCCCCACTGACACCAAGTGATGGGGCACTATTCCTCCCCCCACTGACACCAGCGATGGGACACTATTCCTCCCCCCACTGACACCACGATGGGGCACTTTTCCTCCCCCCACTGACACCAGCGATGGGGGCACTATTCCTCCCCCCCTGACACCAATGATGGGGCACTATTCCTCCCCTACACTGACAGACCAGGGGTGATTAAGTGCAGGATGGGACACTATTCCTCCCCCCACTGACACCAGCGATGGGTCTCACTATTCCTCCCACCTGACACCAGCGATGGGGCACTATTCCTCCCCCCACTGACACCAATGATGGGGCACTATTCCTCCCCCCACTGACACCAATGATGGGGCACTATTCCTCCCACTGACACCAATGATGGGGCACTATTCCTCCCCCTGACACCAATGATGGGGCACTATTCCCCCCCACTGACACCAGCGATGGGGCACTATTCTCCCACTGACACCAATGATGGGGCACTATTCCAGAAGGATGGGGCACTATTCCTCCCCCACTGACACCATGATGGGGCACTATTTCCTCCCACTGACACCAATGATGGGGCACTATTCCTCCTCCCACTGACACCAATGATGGGGCACTATTCCTCCCACTGACACCAATGATGGGGCACTATATTCCTCCCACTGACACCAATGATGGGGCACTATTCCTCCCACTGACACCAATGATGGGGCACTATTCCTCCCTGACACCAATGATGGGGCACTATTCCTCCCCCACTGACACCAATGATGGGGCACTATTCCTCCCACTGACACCAATGATGGGGCACTATTCCTCCCACTGACACCAATGATGGGGCACTATTCCTCCCCCACTGACACCAATGATGGGGCACTATTCTCCCCCCACTGACACCAATGATGGGGCACTATTCCTCCCACTGACACCAATTGATGGGGCACTATTCCTCCCACTGACACCAATGATGGGGCACTATTCCTCCCACTGACACCAATGATGGGGCACTATTCCTCCCACTGACACCAATGATGGGGCACTATTCCCCCCACTGACACCAATGATGGGGCACTATTCCTCCCACTGACACCAATGATGGGGCACTATTCCTCCCACTGACACCAATGATGGGGCACTATTCCTCCCACTGACACCAATGATGGGGCACTATTCCTCCCACTGACACCAATGATGGGGCACTATTCCTCCCACTGACACCAATGATGGGGCACTATTCCTCCACTGACACCAATGATGGGGCACTATTCCCCCACTGACACCAATGATGGGGCACTATTCCTCCCACTGACACCAATGATGGGGCACTATTCCTCCCACTGACACCAATGATGGGGCACTATTTCGCTCCATAAGACACACTTGGGGGGAAATGTCTATGCGTCTTATAGAGTGGCCGGCCCAGTATTCCCACCGCCGTTGTATGTCTGCAGTCTCTGAACAAATGCGACACAGTACAGGAGATAACCATAGTTTTGTTTTTAAACTCTAGTCCGGCCCTCAACGGGCTGAGGGACAGTGAACTGGCCCCCTGTTTAAAAGTTTGAGGCCCCCTGGTGTAATGCCTTGGACAGTACGCTGCATTTGCAATATTGGTGTATGGTTATTAAGCACAGATCTGATTCTAGTTTTCAGGGAGAAGTCTTCTCTGTCCCCCTGTTGATGAGGTGGAGGACATTTGTTTTCCCAAGGAGAAGAGAGAGGAGATTTTTTTTCAAGGAGATCTGTATAGATTTCCAGAGATCTGTGTAGATGGTTGAGGGGCTGCATGTGATCTCCGGAGATAATTGTGATTATTGATCACCTGAATTAAACCAGTGAAAGAAAAGATTGAATGAAAATAATCTGCACTGACCACTGTGCTTTGGTAAAGCCATAATTGGCACATTCTGGTGTCACACAGATGCCATGTGAAATTTGCAGTGTTTTCTGTGCAAGCGCTGCACCGCATCACAACCGCAACCCCTTCATGCCACCTGCTGCGGCTTTCTAGGTGAAGTTACAACACACCAAAATTGGTCCACAAAGCGTATTGCGATTTGCCAAATTGGATGGCATGCCTATTCACACCCATGTGCATACCCTGAAAAAGGGTCCTGCACCTTTTTGGCCCGGATGCGGTGCAATTTGAGCCTTGCAAAATGTATGTCTCAAATTGCAACGCACACAAATTGCATGTGATTTGCCCAGGAGTGCGGTGTTAGACCACAATGCATGTATGTGAAGCCACAATAAAAATGTGTATTTTGTCTACTTTTACTTGGCATGTTAACATTCTGTAACTGCATTGCATTTTTCTTCTGTTTAACATGCTATAGACATGGAACATGCATTTGGATGGAGTGTTTTTGTATGTGCATTTGGGAAGTATTCTAAACACACATTGACCCTAGGGCCACACCATATTTTAAGCCACGTTTGTCAGAAATGCTGTACAGTACATTTAAAGTGGATTTACACTCCACCTATCAAAAAATAACAGTCATCAGCTACAAAAACTGTAGCTGCTGACTTTTAAAAAGCAGGGAGGACACCTTCCGTTTCCAAACATCTAGGCGATCGTACCAGAAGTGGGAGAGTGTGCCTGTCAAATTTGGGGACCCACTCCCCAAGGGTGCCAATCCTTAAGGGGGAACGGGGAGCAGTCCTTAAAGCAGAACTTCCCCTTTTGGATGGAGCTCCGCTTTAAGATGATTTCCTATGGGACATGTTTACACATGTGCATTTTCACATGGCTTGATTTTTTGGAAAAGGTCAGAGCCTTTCTGGAACTCCAAAAGTGTTATGTTTTTGTCAAAATACTTAAATGGAAACACTGCAGACAAGAACGTATTTCATGTTGTCTGCGTTTTGCTGTTTTAAATCTGCCGAGCAACAAAAATGAAAACAATAAGGCAGAAAAAAGACATCAAAAACTTGTGTCAAAAAACAAGTGCTAAAAACAACGCCAAACACAATGCAGAGATGGATACAACACAACCTGTGTTGCCTTAGGCACTTGAGTGCACACACTTGGCCACAGGTGATTTTACAAGGCGTTTTTTTTGGGTCAAAGAATGTGTCTTTGCATTTGTGGAAAGTGTATTTTGGTTGTAATTTTTGGTGTTATTTTTTACGCATACTTTGGCAAACTGCACATCTGCATTCAACTTTGTGGTGAAAATTAACCAAATAATGTCCCAGCCAAAATGACATGCATTTGGCATGTGTTGCCAGAACACACACAAAAATGCTGATACAAAAGAATCCAAAATACAGGCTCAAACAAGACAAACATGCACATCCAAATTTCAAACCACATTTTACAAACATATCTGATGACCAAAAAGCTCCAAAAATGTTGATTACAAAATACACCACAATGAACAATAAAATGTCCAACAAAGCAAAAATTGAACTTTTGTGCCCATGGAGTGTTGTGTTTTCTTTCAATGCTCATTTAGGTGCGTGCCTAGCATATTTGGTAAATGCTAAAATGTGCAGCAAAATGCATGTTTGCTAACAGCACTTGGGGTGCCATTAAACAATGAATGGCACCCAAAAGCACAACGCATATTTAAAGACCATTGAGCACAATTTAGAAGTGCAGCAACAATTTTGCAATTCTGCCACACAATTATGCATTGCTCAGGTGAGAATGCATTGAAAATAACAATACAATACAATTATACTGTATGTATGTATGTATGTATGTGTATACACACACACATGTAGATATAGTTCATGTTTTAGCTTTCCTTTTGGGACAATTATCCCCTGCTTTGTGTGGATATTTGGTATGTTTGATTACACAAACCTCTCACATTTAAATTCTTGACCTTTTTTTGTCATCCACAGATTATGCTGTTACGCAAGTATGACCGTGGCTGCTCGAATTTTGCCAAGCAGACCATCGTGCGCCACATCAAACATCGGCTGTGGCAGAGATTCCATTATCGCACTACTGTGCTACAAATTCAGCACAGCTGGAGCGATGTTAAGCGGCGCAACCCGCAATTTTTTAAAAAAGTGGCCCGCAGAATCTCTGGTAAGTCAAGTTGTTATTAAAAACTTTACTTTCATTTTTGTATTGTGAAAAATGTTTTGATACATTCATTCTGAATTTGTTTGGGCAATAATGTTGTCTTTGTTGACTTGTTCTAGCCACAGCTGATGGGTGCCAGGCGGTGGTCTGCTTGGCAAAAAAGCCTCACAGGAGGACAGCCACCGTCCTCTTCTGCCAACCACAGGCGGGGCATCCCCTGCAGAGACTCCGCATTGTGGAAGGTAAGCACAAGCTCTGGAAGCTTGGACCTCATGACCTTGCCATTGTTGCCATCTCCACACTGATCTCCAGTGACTGTCAATTGTACATTCATGCCACACACATTGCTTGTAAATGACATGATAACTGACGGAAGCGTAGGCAGGACAGAACACACACGGAGGATGCTAAACACACCAAGTTTTATTGTTATATGGAAAGCACTCAATCAGGGTAGGAATTTAGCATCCGGGGACCCAAAAAGGGGGAGGAGAGGGGAGTAGCTCAAAACAATTGTAATTCAGCCCATGATAGGGCAATTTGTGTAGCGATGGGCCAAGCAACTATTAATCCAAGCAGGCAGCTCCGGCAAAAGTAATAGGGAGGTTCAATAGGGCAATCCAGGCAAAAAATGTATGAGAGTTCCATGGGACAGTCCAGGCAGGGGAAATTCAGGGGATCCAGGAGGGGGGGGTGTTCAGACAGGAGGATTGGGGCACTCACGGTTTAGGCAGGAGTATCCTTGGGCACACAGCAGGTAGCAAGCAGGAGTACCCTCGCACACAACGGATAGCAAGTGCCTCTAGCCCCCCAGGTATCAGCAGAGTACTCAGCGGGTTCTTGGAGCTGGGGAGGTATGGCCTCAGCTCAGACCTTACAACAGCTGCTCATGGCAACGTACAGGGGACCAACAGTGGACTAGGTCCTGCTTCGAGTCTTCTTAAGCCAGAGCAGGACGCTTCCCAGTTGCCCTGGCAATGGCCGGCCCAGCATCGGGTCACCGGGGGCAACAAGGCACGCCCCGCTCACTCGGGCCATGCTCAGGGAGCATGACCATTGTCTCCAGCGGGCGCAGATCGCGGGAAGCCTCGTGCCCGTGCTGTTCCCACCGGGGAACATGCAGGGACAACCCGGCGGCCTGTGCTGTGCGGGCCCAGCGGGGTGGCCGACTCCTTGGCAACTTTTCTGAGGAGAGGTGCTACCCGCACCACAGGGGGTGTTTCCTCCCATCCTGAACAGCCTTTGATGTAGGCTTGTGCAGGACCATAGGAATCTGCAAGGGGGAAGGG